AAATACTAATAATCTTAATAAAAAATAAAATATTTGAAATAAAAAAAAAATGTTAGTGGCTCTTTAAAACCAGGACAATTTTGAAAATTGTAACTTTTGGCTCTTCCGCTTCAAAAGGTTGCCGACCCCTGCCTAATCCTTTATCCAAACCGCTATACTTACCCACACCGTTATTGCTCTCCTCACCGCCTATCACCACCCATTATCCAAATCGCTATCCTTAAGTGTATCGTTATCCTTTTCATCACCACTATCCTTGTCCTAATCCCTTAGCCAAAGCGCTATCCTTACCCATAGCATTACTCCTTATACACATCACTATTCTTATCTCTGTCATCATCCATTATCCACATCGCTTCCCTTATCCCTATCATTACCCCTATCACCCACTAGCCCGACCAAGGTAATGGCTAGGAAATAGAAAATATTTGTTGTTGACGAAAACCCTCTAGAAAATACTTTCTGATGAAATTACAGTAATCCCCCCCCCCCCAACTCCATTCAGTGTGCAGAAGTGTAATAAAAATATAAATAGAGTGTATTCAAACTCAAACCTTATAACATAATATTTTTTTTTGTTGGGGAGAGTTCATGGTAAAGATAGCAATATGAAGTGGATTAGAAGATGTTGTAGATTGAGGGTGTGTGGAAGATCCAAAATGTGATGGCTACGATTTGGTCGTTTATTCAGATGCAGTAGAGTCCAACTGTTTCTGTTACTACAGTGGAAAGGGGAAAGGGGGGAGTTTCTTACTGTTGGTGTGTAGTAGGGCCAATACAGTCTTTTTCCTTCTGTCTTCTTATGTTGTTTTTTTTTTTTTTTTTTTTTTTTTTTTTTTTTTTTTTTATGGATTTTGCAAGCATTTCCTATGGGCTTTTAATGATTTTTCTTGGTTCTTCCCATGTTCTTTCTCTGTTCCTCCAAAGGTTTTCGCATGTTTTACGTAAAATTACAGAAATTCAATACTCCGAAACATCTCTTATAAGACACCAGCTAGTCTCTTACAAGGTCCAAAAGAGAAAGAGAACACAAAGATACGCAAAAAAAAACAGGGGTAGGAAGCATACATCAACATCAACATGCCAAAATAAAACAACATAAACAACATAAAAACTCACAAGGTAAAGCTTCGTAATGTAAACAAAACACTGTGATTCAATACAACACAAAACATAAGCAATCAACTCGTAGAATTCACGAAAACAAGCAGGGATCAATTTTTTTTATTTCCATATACAGCCCATCCTTCAAAATTCTCGAGTTTGTTTGTCATTCTTTTGTTGAATATTATTCAATACAACTACATGAGTGATGCTGTTTGTTCTTGTTTTCAGTGTATGAAAAAAAAACTCTCTTAAGCCCAGATATGGATTTAGGCAAGCAACAGGAGTCTACACAAGTAAAGAGTCTAGAAACAGTAGAAAGAAAAACACGCCGACTCTTTGATTTGTTTTTGAATCGCTACGTGACAAAGCGAACGCGATCATTTTTCAAAGCAACCTTCTACTCTCAAGGAATTGATTTTTAAATAGGCTTAAAATAAACCTCGCCGCTGATACTACGGCGTTACAAAATAGATATTTACAACGGGATGTATAAATTCAACCCATTGCGACACCTTATATGCATTTATATATATATATATATATATATATATATATATATATATATATATATATATATATATATATATATATATATATATGTATATATATAATTCACGAATGTAATTACAAATAAAGTGCGATTGTAGAATGAATACGTACATTTTAGTTTACAATTTAAATGGGAGGTAACCAATCTAAAGTCAGCCCCCTTTAGAGAGAGAGAGAGATCAGCTTCAGAAGAAGAGGTTTTAAGTTATTTACAGAGCTTGAGACACAGGTATAGACGGATCTAGCTTTGAATGTTTATAGACTGGGTGATTTTTGATGTACAGATAAATATTTTTTTTCCAGACGGCTACATCACACTATCCCTTCACATGCCGCGGTTACGGAAACAGGCGAACTCTACTTCACTTGCCCCATGGGCCGTCAGGTCCAAAATGGGAACTTTACTTTTCATTTACACCCACATTACCTTCCTGATATCTGCTCAAAAGCTAAACAAACATGCATACAGAAATCTCACGAAAAAAAATGAAAATTCTATAAGATATAATAAAGATATAAATAAGCAAAATATTTGTAAATTATTTTATTTTATTTTTACAGGCGGAGATGGGGGGGGGGGGTGTCTTGGAAAGCAACAAGCAATCCAGAAGATTCGCCCATGGATGGGCAAACAACCACTAATTTACGTTCGGACAACGAAAATGATTTGATTAACCTCTCACCTCTGAAAGGTAAATATTATTTGTGCTACATCTTGTGGCCCGATCTGGTATTTTTAAAGTTTTGGGTGTAAGATGGGTATTATGAAGATGTCTAAGTTAACGTTACGAAATAAATTTCGTGCCTAGTGCTAAAAGTACTTAAGTCACATTTTTGTGAAAATCAAACCAAGCATTGATCGTTATTCCTCTAGTTTAACTTTATCTTATAAACAAATAGTAATACTGAAGAATTTATTTAAGTTGCTCCTCCAAACAAACAAATAATATAAAAACGTAGTTTTATAGTAAATTTTAATCTTTGAACTCATTTATCTCAAAATGTTGTTTTTGTGACTTAAGTACTTTTAGCACTAAGGTCTTCAATTACGAACTAAAGTGTTGGGTGTTAGATGTGTAGTTTGAAGATATCTAAGTTAACGTTACGAAATAAATCAAAAACAGGGTCCCCTCGTTGTTAGGGAGAACGAATACACTCACAGCTAATTGCGTTCTAATCAACACAATTCCAAAACAGATCGTTTTTAATTATTTTATTTTAAACAGCTTTAAGCTGAATCACGCGAATGTTACTTTATTTTTTTTTTCAAACAATCTCGTCTGAGGATGAAATCTATAACTGGTTGCACACAAGCAAACACGCTCCAGCTAAACATCAATCAAACATTGTTGAGGCCCCGCCCCTTTCATTGTTTTTGTAAACATCTTTTTTTTTTTTTAAAAAAATCCATTGCAACAATATCGTGACGTCAGAATAGCTTGAAAATAGAAACAGCAGTGTTAATTTTTTTTAAATTTTTATATTTGGCTGATTTGTTTGATATTTATCTGGCAAATGTGTAGGGGCATGGTGAAATGAGTGTTATACCGCGTTTACACTTTCGACAAGTATATAATACACGTCTAAAAAAAAATCTACCGGACAGTTAGTACACATGTCTGAGGGAAAATATTTTCAATATTTCTCTACTAACTAGTGATGCGATTTTTATCCCAAGATACGTAGAGTATACATGTCGCAAATTTAACGTGGTGTTAAGACTACACTCATTAGCTAGTGGTAGACATCGTGTACAGCATTAGGTCTTAGATAAACTGCGAATTTCACTACATCAAACTATCAAAATTAAGCTCTCTTCGGATGGAGAGGGGGGGGGGTCTACCGTCCCGTGCCCCTCCCGAACTAAATGAAATTTGTATAGTAAATATATACTTTTACCAGTGTCCCCCACCCCCACCCGCCGGAAAATTATATATATATATATATATATATATATATATATATATATATATATATATATATATATATATATATAATTATTTTAAAAGCGTAAACTTGTGGTTTTATTACTTGCTAAATATTTAAAATGGTCAGCATTGAAAACTGCAAGACCCGCAGTAGCCAAAAATATCGCTTGACTTGATACAGATTTTGGCTTTGGGGGTTCAGTTAAGTATGTATATGGGGTGGGGGCTCTAGCCTTAACCCTACCCTGCCTACGTTAATGCCCATAGTATCAAGTATTACGTCAACATTAGCACACAAAGTAATGTACCGCGTGTTCATCCCAATACTACACCCTAACTCCATTTAAACCTACTATACTCTAGCACGTCTAGTATACGTTTTAACTCCCGCGACTAATCAAGCCAGGTAATTTAAATTAATGACCCCCACAACCATTCATTAAAAATTCTTGAGCCATCGATTTTTGTTTTCTTCTACGTTGATGCCAGGGTTGTGTTGACTCTTACCTTAGATTTAACCTTAATAAATCTGAATGGCTGATGAAGTTCATGTCATTACGACACACTTCTCGTTGCTAGGATAGAGGCCAATCATTTTCATTTTCAAAGATTGATAATGTGTTATACAGAGATATATATCTTACGGGGATATTATTTTTATAATGTAATTTAGAAAAAAAAATGTATTTTTTTAAGGAGCTGTCATACATTTTGCATGAATATATTTTTTGCTTGAATATATGTTTTATGCGTCTTTAAAAATAGTTTTAGTTGACAAGAATATTTTTTTTACAGTTTTGCTTAATATAAAAAAACAATATGGTTTTGATTTTATAATTTAAATTCAAACATTTCTAAAATTGGGCTTAGAAACAAAACTGCGCTACATTTCTTAATCGTAATGTCACCAATGTTAAAAACATAATGTGGGGGTCGTCCATAAATGACGTCACACTCGTAGGGGTGAGGGGGGTCCGTAATTTTGTGACGGTGTGTAATGATGGGGGGAAGGGTTTAAGATGGTGTGACGTCACACTTTTGCATTATAAAAAAGCAATGTTAGAAAAAGAATATAGTCGTCATTTCGCGTTTTAGAAAACTGTTTTAATAAATTGTAATAGGAATTTATTAAAATACTCAATGTTGACAGAGTTCAGACAAGATTATGGAAAAATAACGTATTTTAATAAAAAATTAAACTACAATTTCGAGGGAGGTTTTAGGCTGGGGTGTGACGTTAATTTAGGGGGGGGGGCTGTTAGTGACGATGTGTGAAAGGATGGGAGGTAAAAATCGTCAGAAAAGCGTGACTTCATTTATAGATGATGACCCCTGTTACAGTTTTTGCTTGAGAAAAAAAAATTAGCGTGTACATTCGCGTAAACATCCCCAGAAAAAAAAAAGTATGCTATAAGTTTACTTTCCGTTTTCTGAGTTTTTTCTGGTAAACTCGCGGCCGAACGAGAACGTCTCATGAAACGTTTGTCTAAATTTGGAGCTCATTGTGTAGTACGAGATGATGTTAACGCTGGAATTCAAAGTGTCGAAAATAAACGTAAACGCCGCGGCTACCAGAAACAGGTTCCGGTATTTTCCGGTGATGCTAAACCCGGGCACAATGAAGACTCCGGTGAAGAAAGCGACGGTGGGACTGAAGTTGACGATGAGAATGACGGCGACGACGATGACCATTTTGATAGTGGATTTATCTCTTTTGGAGATGTTGTCTGATTGGGCGGAATCGAAGGTGGATTTTTTCCGCCATTCGGTTTTTTGTTTGAGTTTGATGACGAGGACGGCGGTGAGGATGATAACGGCGAGGAAAGAGACGAACATGAGGATGGCGTAGAGGAGGAAGCTGAGACCGTCGACTTTGTAGCGGTCGCTAGTGAAGACAAGACCGATTAGGGTTTTGTTTAGAAAAGGGTAGAATTTATAACCCCCGTAGGCGGTGACGTATTCGGGAATAAGAGGAAGCATCACCACGAAGTAGATGACGCTTAAGATGATGATGGTTCTTTTAGGGGTGAGTATTTGTTTGACCTTCAGCGGTGAGACAATACAGAGGCATCTCTCCGCGGTGAGGTAGACGGTGACCCAGGCGGTGATACGGGCGAAACAGCCGTGCGGACAGCCGGCGTAGAGATGCTGGAGCTCAGGGGCGAAGAAGATGATGTCGGCATTGTAGAAGAGGGGGTTGAAGCTGATGCAGTACCACTCGATGGTGATGAGGCTGCAGAGGTCGGAGATGGCGAGCCCGGTGAAGCCGATGTTGACGGTGTTGTTGAGGCCCTGCTTGTAGAAGATGATGATGTTGATGATGTTGGAGGCGATGCCGAAGAGACCGATGGCGCTGCTGATGACGACTAAGGTGATGATCTCGTAGATTTGTTTCTCCTCGTCGCTGATCAGCGAGCCGACCACGGTTTCGATCACGACGTCTTCGCTGGAGTTCGCTGGCTTCAACACCCGACCCGCTGGAAAACCAGTTGTTTCGTCACTTCGTTCAGTCACGTGATAGTCTTTCAACTCCATGCTATTTCTAACGCAAGCAGCGTTCACATTGTTTTTCGAAATTTACGCGAAATATTAAACATTAAAAAAAGTATTTATTAAATTCAGTTTTAGAAAACTTTTATAAAGTGGTTAAATATATATTTTAAATATACCTACAACAATAAAAACATACATTTCTTCCGTTACAAATATAAATATGAAGATCTGTATGTGAACAGTCATTTAATCTTGAAGAAAGTTGATATATAAGTTTATTCATACTGCAAGTCGAAATATCTATATCTGCTTGGTCTAGTAGGCAGGCGAGAGCTTCTTCACTGTTTAAATAGACCAAAGTCTAATTGCGATAAAAATGACTTTGTGAGGATAGGGGAACTAGTAATGGCTGAGAGCATTGACTTGAACTACAATTTTCGGAAATTACCGAAAAAAAACTTGATCAAAATAATGAGCGTGCTCTAGTAGACTCCGTTTAAGCCAATCAATTCATAATTTAGTACTCAATTTTACGGACCATCTCAAAAGTTAATACAGTGGAGTATTTAAATTAATTTACTAGCCATTTTGTCTGGGTTTAGTTTGATGAGTAATTACAGTTCAACGAGGACGTTAAAATATATGTAAAAGTCTTTGGGGAAAAAATTGGATTGGAAAACAGAGTTTTGAAACCGGATCTATGGTAAATTGGTTTTAACGGAATCGTTGAAAATTATCCGTGATTAGTAATCGACTGACATTTGGAATACTTTAAACGTTTCATTTTTGGTTCAACGCTTGCTCGAATTTGGTAATCCACGTTAAAAGCAATTTACCAATTTTCGATTCGAGATATTTATTTTTTGCGGTAGAAATAGAAGAAAAAATTCCCAATACGATCGTAAAAATGTGGACGGAGAAAGTCAAAACAAAAATAATTAACATAAAATGGATTTTCGAGAAGATTATTTTTACGATGGGAGACGGTGTTATATCGTGCGTGGTAAGCGCTTAGGGCGAAAATCGAAAGTTATTTCGACTCACATAGTACAAATCTCTATCCGGAGTTAATTGTGTAATTTTTATTTTTTTTAATTTTTCGCGTGTTTTTTTTTTCCTCTCTGTTTTATATAAATGTTGCAATCAATTTTGGTTAAAAATAAAAACGTTGTGACAAGTGTAAAATAGTAAACAGACGCATACTAAAACAAGAACTGATGCATGTTTGTATGTTAAGGTAACCAACATTGATGCTGTGATATGGCATTATGATGTTGCTGCTATAAAGCTTATACGTCCGTGATATTCTAATTCTAAAACGTTGGTTATTTTCTTCGTCTAGTTTTAGGCTCGTACGTTTTTGGAGACAGTATTTCTGTGAAAATATAGTATAATACGACTGCATAGTCAAATTTGACGATTTCGAATTGGGAATCCAAGCACAAAGCCTTGGCTCTATGTTGAGCAGAGCCAGATATTGCTTGTGTATCAAGCCCCCCACTCTCCACACAGATGTAGGACCCAAGAGACAGAATGAGAGAAGATGTTATTAGTCAAAACGATGAACTGTTGTTGTAGTTTCTTAACTAAAATCGTGGATGCTGCAGTGTCGCAAACAGCAGCCTGATGTATTGATGTGTTCCATTATGTTATGACATCACCCGGAAGTGGCCAGATCATGGGGGCAGCCTATTCTCAGCCGGGCGTCTACTGTCAACTGGCTGTGGCCTCCATTGATGTAATAGTCGAGTTGCCAGATGGCACGCTACTGTGGGGAAACAGTGGCCCGTTTGGCGACCTGATGCTGACGTCATCGTCTGGAAAACCTGGCAACTTCCATATCAACGATCTTCCGGTGCGGTTTCAAATTGTCTCCCTTGAAGTGAGAGTTCATGAAGAAAAGTTATGTCCCTTTATGCTATTGAAAAGTGTTTTGTGCAGGCGTATAGTTCTAGGTGTAGTAGTGAAAGTGCGGGTATTGTAAGGTGGTGGTGAATAATTATTAATTAACCCAATCAAACATTTTGACATTTGCAGTAAAAGGCGTTTCAACTGCATGAATCTTCGCATGTTTATAACTAAACAAACGAAACGGAATAAAAAACACGACATTTATTTTTTAAATTTTACTTAATGTCAAACTTGTTGGTAATTATATTATTGAAATGCTAGGATTGTAGCTGATTAATTAAAATAATTAATTACGCACGGACTTGACATACACATGCCTTTTCCATCAAGTTTCACCTGTCGTTCGTGTTTTCGTGTTTGTTTACGTTGGATTAATTTCAGAATGACGTGAGGCTTTTATGGAATTAAAAACAAATACATTACTTAATCTAGTGGCGTCACTAGCGTCAATCGTTGACTTCTGTGCCTCTCCCCCTACCTCTACACCCTCTCTCCCCCGTCCCCACCTCTCGCCCCTCTGTTGGTCCTATTAATTCGGTCAACTTAGAAACCGAAAACAACATTTCATTTACCGGATGATCTGTGAACGTCGTGATTATCGCATTACGTTTCCTAACCATTGCGACATGCTGATCGTTTTAATTCATGGAGGCCTCTTTTAACGATAACTTTCAGTTTAGTTATTTGAAACTTCAGACGTATTAATATTATTTCTCTGAATGTCCTAGGTCTCAGTAACCAAACAGTATTATATTTAAGACCAATGGATGCTAACTATACTCCATGATTACTGAATAAAAAGATTACTAGCTGAGACGTTAGAGTAGACTGAATCATATATTAAAGATAGACAAAAAGAGACGGCTATTAAGGACAATTCTATAGAGACTACAACTCACTGTTAGAAAATGGTCGCATATCTAGACAATATCAGGAAATAGTCATAGGTGTATATCTTAATTTTTTTAAGCAGGTAGAGTCTTCGGTTAGTAGCAAAGATTGTATTCTTTTGGGGCCGTAATAAGATAAATAGCATATATATATATATATATATATATATATATATATATATATATATATATATATATATATATATATATATATATATATAAGTAGCTAGTTAACCAGAATGTTAACCTCTAGCTCTTGAGTTTTAACCCCCCCCCTCCCTCTCATCCACTTGAATCCACTGGACATCTTATAATCAAGTGATCTCTTCTAATTCATCAATCTTGTTTACCGTCATATAATGTATTTCTTTAATTTTACTTCATGTATCTACTAAGTAGCGGTGTATCTCCGAGGCTAGGTAACAATGTTCGTGTAACTAGCTAGATGTGGTATACAGTCTTAGCCCCATTCTATATATCCAGGAAAATGTTGTGGGGGAAGGGGGTGGGGAGTGATAAATAGCCCTTGCGCTATCTTCTAAAGATGCATCCTATGTTCAAGACGAATAAATGGCAATTCAATTTAAATAGCCGACAGAAGTAACACTGTGGCCTTGATTCCGCTCATTAGCATTACTGATTGCAGACCAGTTTAAATTAGAGCATCTTAGAGTGTGTATAATGGTGATAGTTTCCAATTGAAAGAATGTTTTACTTTGTGATAAGAGGTAATGTTAACATTATTAGATGTCAGAAGCTTTTCAAATTTGTCGTCTGCGTTGATAGCCGTGAAATGATTGGTTGAAGCACGTGTGCGTTGGAGAATAAAATTGGACAATGTCGTAAAAACGAAACAATTGTAGTGAAATAACCACATGAATGTCGAATTTTTTTTTTGGTAAGAAAAACTTTGATTATACTATTATATTCATTACATTTTTTAACACGACAATTAGATTTTGACTCTTTGAAATAAAATGTCAATCGGCCTATTAAGCACACAATTTTGCCTAAAATAACCTGTTATTACAGTTAATTAAACAGCCGTTATCTGTATAATAATATAACGTTTGTAAAACCACGTAGTAAAGGAATCACTGAGATTATCGGACACATGGAATGTAGATTATGTACTTTAATACGCAAAGGGATTGTTGAATCACAACCATGGTCATGGGTGCTTAATCTTTACATACCCAATTAGTGACAGGTACCCAATAGAACTGAATGGATTCAGAAAAGTATATGTAATTCGGTGATTGAAGTAGAACTCACCAGCTCGGTACACAAAAGAGCTGTGTGGACTCAGGGACTTCATGTGCAGAAACCAGTGGTATCTACATGCATCGAACGATTAAGTTTATATACAATTTGAAATAACTGTTTTAATATATAATGGGTTGATCAATAGTTATCTACATGAATAGAAAATGAACCGTATAAGTATTTCGTACTTTTAAGGTATATTTTGTTTTTGGATTAATTTGCTGGATAAAGTCGACTGTCACAAGTCAAAAGTTCACAAAATACAGTCCATCCATTATATAAAGCTCATTGTAAGAAATCCATTCCTTGGCTTAACGAGTATGAAATGTGTTATGTGGTATTAACTTGACCAAATGGAAAAAATGTGAAGAAATTATAATATTTTGTAGATTATAATAAAAACAATTTTTACAAAAGAAAACAGCAGAGTTCTTTACAAATGTGTATTATTCCATTCTTGTTATCCTTGTTGTTTTAATATTATTTTGTCACCATTCCAAAATACCTTCGCCACGTAAGTCTATTTTTAGATTTTCCGGACACCCCGAAACAATTACTTGCAGTGTGTACCCAATATACATACGTCACAGCAAAGCTTTTTTCCCGATTGGATCATATACGTCATGTGACACTAGTATCTAAATATAACGTGTCTGAGCATAGCTGAACAGTGTGTATCTGTGTAGATACAGAGATATGTGAGTGTTTATTTGTCTCGCGTTAACACACAGACGCTAATGGGTTATGACAAAAATAAGTTCTATCGTTGTGATGTGTTTGATAAATTATTATATCATACACAAGTCTATCAAGTCTACAAACGTAAATTTTTCTTGACTTAAAAGATAAAATGACGAACTATTTTGTACTGGTTTGTTCCTACATTTATAGAAAAAACACATTATTATTTTAACGAATGTATTTTGCCAAAAAAAAAACAATGTTAGCCAGATTTTTTAATGTACATTTAAGGTG